TCAATATTGTTGCCAAATATTATCACGTCATCAATGTAATTCAAAGCATTCTGACCAGGGGCCAACATTTCCTCCATTAACCGTTGAAATATTTCTGGGGCTGAATTCACGCCAAACATCAGCCTCTTATATCGAAATAAACTGCGGTGCGTTATGAAGGTAGTAATTTCTCGGCTGGATTCGGTCAGCTCCAGCTGATGGTAAGCGCTTTTTAAATCCAGTCGTGAAAAATACTTGGCACCTTTCAGCTTGGTCATGAACGTTTCGAACGTTGGCAACGGGTAGTTTTCTCGTTGTATTGCTTTGTTTGCGCGTCTCATGTCCAAACATACCCGGATATCTCCGTCGTCCTAAAACGCAATCACAACTGGCGATATCCAAGCGCTCGGGCCCAATACTGGTTCGATTTAAGGCTTCCTCCAATTTATCGGTGACTTTACTTTCCAACGCTGTTGGCACCCGCCTCATTGGTTGCTTCACTGGGACTATTGACTTATCAATGGACAGCTTGACCGACACATCACGCCATTTGGGGAAAGGCTCGGCCTTTTCAACTCGATGTACGTCTAAACCCAGTTTTAGAACGTTGAGTTTGATTGCTGTGTCACGTCCCAACAGCGATTGTCTACTATTTTCAATGACGTAAAAAGTAGCAATCAGTTCGGGATCGTTTAGCACCGAAATCAGCGCTTCAAAAACTTGTAGCAGTTTAAGTAGATGATCAGAGGCATATGCGCGAAACTGGTTGGCTGATTCCGAGCGCGAGTTAAACATTACTGCCCTTTTCTCGCACAATTGCCGCCATTCCGACTGACTTATTAGATTGTACTTCGAGCCCGAATCAATTATCATAGTGACTGCATCGCCCCCTATTTTACATGGAAGTTCTTCTTCTCGTGATGATCCATATTCCACTCTGAATAATTCCGCGTCTTTTGGACTATCCGGGTAATTTTTAGAACCACTAGATATGGACTTGATTGTAGAATGATCATATTGTCGTCGCTTTCTATTTGGACCTTCCCATTTGTCATATGGCTTCCTTTTCCTTGTACGGCATTTTCGATAAAAATGTCCAATCCTTTCGCATTTCCTGCATTTCGCATTCCTGGCTGGGCAGTCCAAACTATTATCTTGGTGCCCTTTTTGGCCACATCTGCCACATTCGGAACTCGCGCTGCGCTGAACTATTTTGTTGACGCTACTTGCATTCGATTGCGGGATCATCGACTGCGTTTGTTTATTAACTTGTTCGTCAAGACTACATGTTTTAATGACCTCCTCCAAAGTGAATTCATTTTCCAACAGCTTCTTTTTTAGCTCCAACGAAGCCCAGACATCGATGATTCTATCTTTTAGGCAGATATCCTCTATCTGTTCTTTGGTCTCTCCAAATGAACATTTAACTGTTTGGCGGCGAAGCCTCATCAAAAACTCTGTGAAACATTCTCCCTCTATTGGGGTCATCGACCGAAACAAATGTCTCTCAAAAGCCGAGTTGCGCTGCGGTGAAAAATACTCGTTCAGTTTGGTAATAAGAGGTGTTAAAACATCATTTTTCTCCTCCTCGACAAAAGGAATTAATGCTCCCGGAATGCTGTAGACTACAGCCTGGAGCTGCGGTCCGCCCAGGTGGAGAAGCTTGTTCCTTTTCTTATATACGGATGTGTTCTCCTCCGTGTCAATATATATATTAAACGCGCGCAACCATGCCTCCCACTCTGTTCTCCATAGCGCTTTATCCATTCCCTGACACAGGAATTGTTTTAACTCGGTCATGTTTAGTATAACCTGAAAGATAATTCAAATTAGATGGCCATTAGCAATTTCTTATTTTTTTTTTTTTATTAATAGACTCTTTATGCGAACATCTCAAATTATGTTTCGCTCTTTTTTTTTTATATATAGTCGCATTCCCTTTAGAACCGACTCCTTTAATGCAGCAGCCGGAATTTAATCGGCTAACCCTGCTTAATCTCGTTCCATTTGGAACAGATTCTCTTAATGCGAAAATTACACTTTGCTATCGCTCTTATTTTGATCTCGTTCTCTTAGGAACGGACTCTCTTAGTGCAGCCGCCGGAATTTAATCGGCTTGTGCTGTCCACCTTTTCTTTTCTCACCCTTTTTCCTTTTCGCACCTCCCACATATATATGTATAACGGCGAGACACGCATCAGTTTTTTCTTCCTTCCAGTTATTTCTTTTTTTCCGTTAATTTGGCCGGTAGTACTTATAAAATACTTGGTAAATATTTAAAGTCCAGTTTTTCTCCTCGTCGCCAGTATAACAACGCCTGATTTCCGACTTAAATAACAATTCCAAATACGGTCTTTGATCCACTCTTTATTAGCACCGGCACTGCGGGCGTTACCAGGTCAACTAACTCTAATTGCATTGTACATTAATGCTTTAATCTATTTCTTTTGAGAGAGCGCGTCATTCTCATCTATGCCGTCGCTCTACGCTGCCGGTACGGATCTCCAAAAATAGCAATCAATGGCACAATGAATCAAGGACAATATTTTCACATCCTGAATGACCATACATTTACTTCCGGGTACAAACTCATTGGACAAACTTTATCCTGCAACAGGACAATGCCCCATGTCACAAGTGCAAAGTAATTACAAAGTTCCGATCTTAATATAAATAAAAGTGTGTGAGCGTGAGCTTAAACACAAAAACATAAAATATGTCCAAAAAATATTAAAAACGCGCGAGAATACGATTGCTGAGGTCAAAGTTCTTTGGAAAGATATTTCCCAAGAATGTCCCCAAAATTTAGTAAAATAGATGCATCGTAGTTTGCAGAAGGTAATAGATTATCAGGCAGGCTCCGGTTTTCACTTTCACAAGATTTTTTCGTTTTCAAAAACGGGCAAATTTTTTTGTCGAAATGAAAAGTAAATGCCTTTTTCTACATCAAATCGGTTCTTAATTGCAAAATGAAAAAAATAGTTGACTCCTTGGTCTATTGATCTTCATTTCACTACATCATTAGGTCAATCTATTGGGTTGGCAAGAAAGTCATGTCGTTTTTTTAGTAATCGTTTTTAATCTAATTTATTTACGACTAATCGAGCACCAGGGTCACACTTTTTAGTATCGTTTTAAAGCTTATTGTCTTAGGTACTATCGACGAAAATTTGGTAATTATTCGATAACATTTGTGGAAGCTATAGCTAATTAAACATGGAGGACCAAAGTGAGCATTTTCGGCATATTTTGCTTTTTTACTTCCAAAAAGGAAAAAAGCGGTCGAAGCTCGCGAAAAATTGTGCGAAGTATATGGTAAAGATGCCATGAGTAATCGCCAATGTCAGCGCTGGTTTGCCAAATTCAGGCTCAGATTTTGAAGTTAAAACGCCCCACGCTCTGGTCGACCATCGGCCGTTTTTGACGGACAAATTCAGGCTTTGCTGGATGAAAACCGGCGTTATTCAACGCGGGAGATGTCAGAGAAGCTCAGTGTGTCGGATTCAACGGTTGAAAACCATTTGAAGAAACTTGGCTACGTAAGCAAGCTCGATGTTTGGATTCCGCATAACTTAAAGGAAATTCACCTAACTAAGCGTATCAACATCTGCTATTCTCTGCTGCAACGGATTAAATACGATCCTTTTTTGAAGCGGATCATTACTGGCGACGAAAAGTGGGTTGTTTACAATAATGTCCAACGAAAAAGATCATGGAGCAAGAAAGATGAGCCATCCCAATCCACATCAAAGGCCGATATCCATCAGAGGAAAGTTATACTGTCTGTTTGGTGGAATTGGAAGGGTGTAGTGCACTTTGAGCTGCTGGGACGGAATGAAACCATCAATTCAGATGTGTACTGTCGCCAGCTATCCAATTTGGCGGAAAAGATTAAAGAAAAGGAGCCGGCACTAGCTAATCGCAAGGGTATAGTCTTTCACCATGACAACGCTAGGCCCAAACACATCTTTGGTCACTCGGCAAAAATTAACGGAGCTGAATTGGGAAGTGCTACCACATCCACCTTATAGTCCGGACTTAGCACCTTCAGATTACCATTTGTTTCGCTCTCTTCAAAACTCTTTGAATGGTAAAAACTTTGATTCAGATGAGGCTGTCGAAAACCACTTGTCTCGATTCTTTGCTGGAAAAGACCAAAAGTTCTTCGAGCGCGGAATTATGCAGCTGCCCGAAAGATGGTCATTAGTGGTCGAACAAAACGGCCAATACATAATTGATTAATTATAAGTCCTGATATGAATAAATCATCTCTGAAAATATTGAAAAAAAAAACGACATGACTTTCTTGCCAACCCAATATAATTTAATAGAATACTAAAATAATTTTAAACATTCCTGGTATAACAAAAAATGTATACAGGCAGGCTCCGGTTTTTTACTTTTTTTTCGTTTTCGTTTTTGGGCGAACACGTACGTTTTCGTTTTAGGTGCTCCGGTTTTCACAAACTTTTTGTCATCGTTTCGTTATCGGAACGGTTCATTTTTTCATCGTTTCTCACTGTTCAAACAACTGAAATTAATCATATTTATTATAAAAGCTTATTTAACTTTTCTTTACAAATATTTTAGCTTCGTTTTCATTTTATAAGAATTTTTAAGTGGTTGTTTTGTTCCACTACAAGTACGGCAGCATTGACGATAACTTTTGGCAATAGATTTATCGGCCCCTTAGCAAAACGAAAGTTGTTGTTGCCGACGGCAAATATTTTATGTATGAAATCAAGATGGGGTCAGAAAATAATTATTTAAAAAATAAATACGAATTATTGTAGTTTCAGTTTAATTTAATCAAAATTTTTAATAAGATTAAGATTTTTCACTATTCATCTATCTCTGATCGTTAGCGCCTGGGCCCAGAATAGACGCACTTGACCAGATTAATAAATCAGAATGGTTAATCCGTAAAATAGTGAGTTTTTTCTAATAGTCGGCGTCTTCCGTAGGTGAAAACTCAAACAGAAGTGAATATTATGTTTAAAATCATACCAATGTATACTTACACTTCAACAATAACTGGAAAAGCAGCATCTCTTAATTCTTCCCTCCAGCTAGGAGGAAGTAGTAATTGAACTTGAGCTCGTCCTCCATGCGGTAATGGTATTTCAAAAGATCTCTGGGTCGGTAAGGCCAGTTTTAGTAATCTTTCTGTATAAAATGGCCGCGTGTCATATAAAATTTTAACTAAGCTGTGAGTTTTATGCATATGAACTCCTGATACAGGAAGTCCTGGACCTAGGCATTCCAAAATGTAGAACTCAATTCCATAGTTTGTTGCAATTCCTAATGATGGTGTTATAAAAGCGTCAAAATGTGAACAGTTGGTATAATAGTAACGACTACTCCAGAGATCTTCCCCCAAATCACACGTGATACATTGTGGTTGGATTCTGTTGATAAAAATAATATTAAATAAATAATGAACTACTTGTCTGTCTGTATTCTTACTTTCTGATATCATCATGTATTGGGTCTTTAACAGAATATAAGTGCCTTTGACCAGGCTTTTTATCTTGAGTAGCCAAAAAGTAAACTTTGTGATTTTTAGTATCCCAACATATTATCTTTATCACCTAAAAAAAGAAATCAGTTAGCAAAATAATTATCATTTATACTTCTAGGCCAACCCCAATGGGGCTAGCCTGTGTAGTTATTTTGATAGATTATAGAAATCACTAAAAAAAATTTACGACGCGCGCAAACGAAAAAGGCCAATTTCGTCACCCTTTTCTTAAGTTTTTATTTATTGGGTAAATGAAGCTTGATGAACTATGCGGTGAAGGTTTATGCACAAATCAATAAAAGTCGTTATTGTTCACAGTTTATTCATTTATTAATAAGAGAGCACGGTTAGTTTATCCTTTACATTTTCCAAGTGAGTGAGAGTTTTTTAAACCTTAAAGATATCGATAACAGAAAGTCAAAAAGCGCCACGCTTACCAGCGCTTAAATTGGCGCGTATAACAAATCATTTTCCCTGTTCAAAACTCCTTATTAATTTAAGTGTGCGTTTATACAAAATAAAGATTGGTTTTTCCTGAGAGTAATGACTAGATACAAAGCAAAATTAAATGTTCAACATTTAACCTTACGAAAGATCAATTCCTGAATTTAAATACTTAATAACGACTAACATAAAGTTAATTTTCGTCTTTCGTCGTTCACAGCTAATGAAACACTTTACAGTCTTTATTGCATTCGCGTTCTTTGGCACAGGAGATGATGTTGCTCCTTTAGCAGTGGCCTCCTCACAACATTTGCAATCTGGTCCTTGGTACTGACGTACTGAACGTCGATTCTTCTTTTCTCAGCGAGATCACGGAAGATGTTATACTTTACATCGATGTGCTTCAACCGCTTATATTCTCAGCGATGAAGCAGTCGAATTCAGGCTTGGTTGTCCTCATGATGCTTGATTCCAAGGTCGGCCAATAATGTCTCGATCCAGATGAGTTCCGTTGCAGCATTAGCAAGTGCAACGTCAAGTCAAGAGAATTTTGCCTGCGTGATGCCCACAGCACCAAGTTCCCGTGGACGAGTATAACATACCCTGACGTCGTTTTCCAGTTACCCTCACTTCCAAAATTGGCGTCTGCAAAACAACTGACAACTGGAGCATGGTTTTTCTTGTAGACGAGGCAGTAATTCTGGGTCCCTTTTATGTATCGTAGAGCTCGCTTCAAGCCTTTTCATTAGCATCGTGAGCAACAGATGACACACAACGTCGCTTCCCTCCAGAGAGGCACTAGATTGATGCAATTCCCTAACAAATGTATCAGATTTTAGAAAAAATTAGGTTAGTTTTTCACACATCGGGATTAATTTAGTGGTCATCAGTTTTATTTTTTTTATTAACAATTGACTTGCGAGTCCTTTACGCTCGAAAGTAGATATCAAGGACATCCATAATTCAAGCCCGTTTTCCTTGTATTCCTTGGCATATTCCAAGTGGCTGTCCGCAATCCTCTGTATTATTTGGGACTTGCACTTCCGGTCGAGTCGTTTCAATTTTCCACCTCGGTGTCCGATTCCGTATTATCTATGAGAGGTTCCAGCGGTGAATCCGCAAACGGCATAAGATCGAGTTTCTTGGGCGAAGTTTCCATTCGGAATTTCCAGTTCCCGAAATAGAGGAATGCGATACTTCGACTCCGATTCCTCAGACATTTTCCAGGTAGGTTTGGTTGCAAGATTTGCAAGAGAAATGAAAAAATTAATGATTCTAATTTTAAAAATTTCGTTCCAAAATTTCTGTGTTCCCGCAACCTTAAAAGAGTCAGAGCGTATGTTCAGCAAAGTTGGATTTATTATAAGTAACCGGGGTTTCGCTTAAGGCGAATAATGCAGACATTTTACTATTTCAACAAAGCAATGCATGAATACAACTTATTTTTCATAATTCATATAAATTCATATAAAAATGACTTTAATTTTGTTGATTTTTGTTGAAATATCTTATGTTTTATGTTGATGATATGATCAAATAATTTTGACCTTTTTATTTCTGTTTGTAGTAATTTATACAGCACTAAAAACCTTAATATGCAAAAAATTAAATAAATATGCAAAATGCTATCGATACTATTGAATTTTCGCTATGAAATCATCGAAAATATCGAATGGTTTCCGAACTCTAGTTGTTATTGTTTACAGTTTATTCCATTATTAATAAGAAAGCGCTGTTTCTTTATTCTTACATTTTCCAAGTGAGTGAGAGTTTTTTAAACCTTCAAGATATCGATAACAGAAAGTCAAATAGAACCACACTTACCAGCACTTAATTGACGCGTATTTCAAATCATTTTCAACTTTCAAACAAGCTTAACAAGAAAAAAGACTAGCTTCGGCAAGCCGATCAAATAATACAATCTGTAAAATCTTTGGCAAAAAGATTCAAAAGGTAAGCCAGTTCATTTTTATGACGGGAAAAAATCGAAAAGGCGAATAACTTAGTTGTTCAATTACTTTTGACTTTTTATTGATAATGTAAAGGTATTTAATCAAGTAGGTAAGCTAGTTTCGCTAAGCCGAAGCTTGTAAACCCGTGCAGATAAAACTAAGCCTAAAAACTCCAGTCTGCAAAATCCTTTGACAACTTATGTTTTGCCCCAAACTAACCATGCTTCCTATAACGTGCACTATGAGTTATTAAAATACAAAAATTATATATTTTAAAAGTAATAAGTCAGCATTATGCTAATGATGTCAAATTTTTATTCAGAGCTTATGATAATGGACACAGAAAAACAATATGATTTTATATTGCCGAATAAAACGCGATACCTGTGATGCAGTGGTTTATTCTTTTGCGAATTAAGAGCGAAAGCGGAAAACGAAATCGAGAAGAAAGTTACGCAGTGCGTACGATAGAGAGTTCAATTTTCAACTAACTTTAATTTCAACAAATTCTCTTACATGCTAACCTACAAGTACTGAGCGGGAGAGCGGCGGCCGAATTCACCTGAGCGAGAAAGCTTTATTAAGCCCCGATCCCCGCTTTACATTATACAAAAAGAGAAATCTCCAAAACACCGCCCCCTCTGAAGGGGTGACGTCCTTCAGGACACCGTCGGAAGTAGAGCCAGCCGATGGATGGCTCGCCTAAACATCCCGTCTGCCGTCTTGACGTCCGCCACTCGGACCTTTCAATCAGCGCCGACGTGCACCTCCACTACGCGCCCGATCCTCCACTGCTGGGGCGGCAGATTGTCCTCGCCTAAGACGACGAGCGCTCCCACGTCGAGATTTTGGACCTCCTTGTTCCACTTTTGCCTCGTCTGCAGGCTGGAGACGTACTCCCGGGACCATCGCTGCCAGAACCTGTGCCTGAGCGACAAGACACTGCGCCATCTTCGCAAGCAGGTTAGGCTGATCTGGTCCGGGAGTGCCGACGGTGATGGAGCTACCAGCGGGCCGCCGATCAGGAGATGTCCGAGGGTGAGGGCTTCGCCGTCGCTGGGGTCGCTGCTTAGCGCTCCGATGGGCCTCGAGTTTAGTACCGCCTCCACGCTGGCAAGGAGAGTTCCGAGCTCCTCCGCGGTCAAGAGGTCGTGACTGACCGTTCGAAGGAACAGGTGCTTTGTAGACTTCACACCTGCTTCCCATAGACCGGCGAAGTGAGGTGCTCTGGGCGGTATGAACGCAAACTCGCATCCTTTTTTTGATGCGAATGCTTCTATACCGCCCCCTGCTCCTCCAGACGGGCCGGAACTCTTTCAGATGCCGATCCGCGCCGACGAAGTTGGTCGCGTTGTCGCACCACACCTTCTCCGAAATCCCGCGACGACTCACAAACCTTTGAAAAGCCAATAAAAAATGCATCAGTGGTAAGGTCAGACACTAACTCTAAGTGGACCTCTTTGGACGCAAAACACACAAACAAGGCCACATATGACTTTTACGGTGGTTTACCACGGATGCGATATGTTGTTGGATGCCACAAAAATCGACGCCACTGATATTAAAAAGGCGGAGAGCTCGGAGTCTGTCTGATGACAAGTTCCCCATAATTTGCGTCAAGAGTTGCGGCTTGCATCGAAAGCAGCGCATGCACGAACGAACTGTTCGGCGACATACGTCTTGAGCATTGACCAACCAGACTGACTCTCTGTGAGCTTTTCGTTAGCAACAACGGAAATTTGGCTTCGTACGGGATAGGAGCATTCTATAACCGACCACAAACTCGCCATAATGTCGAAGTGCACCAATCTAATTTATAGGAACAAAGGGATTTAGCTTTTGAATCTGCGTTGATACCGGTTTCTTTTTCCGATTGTGCCTATGTCTTTACTGAATTCGTGAGATTGGATGACTTCTACAATTTTGTCGAACGCAAAATTCAATTCTCTTGGCGTAATGCTTTCGAAAGGCTTTAAAACTTTCTTACACCTCCGAATAAATCTTAAAACCCACACGAAAACTCTCAGCAGACTCAGGTGCGACGAAAAGGACTCGATTTTCTGAAGCAAGTAGTTGGGCTCTGGTGTAACAACAAGAGTTAACGCCGACTTGCGTAACTCACTTGACACGACTTCTGAAGGGAGTTCGAAGTGTTGATTTACAGGCCAATAACTTTCTGTGTCGAGTAAAAATGCCGGCCCAGCGAAACAAATGGACGTTAAAAGATCTTCAACGTCACATCCTCGAGACACTACATCCGCTGGGTTAACTTTCGTGGGAACGTGTCGCCAAATTGCATTCTCCGACCACTCTTGGTTCTCAGCTACTCGGTTTGAGACGAAAACGGACAACGACGAAGGATGAGTTTTGAGCCAATGCAGAGTGATCTCGGAGTCGGTCCATAGGACCACTTTTTTGATAGGGCAATTTAGTAATGGCCTTACACCATTACACCAAAGGCGAGCTGCACACAGCTCAAGGTGAGGCAAAATTTTCGTTTTGAGGGGAGCTATTTTGGATTTGGCCGTCAGCAATGACACTTTTAAACCTTCAGCAGTTTGAGTGCGAACGTAGATGCACGCTCCATGTGCTCGCATGGAAGCGTCAGCGAAACCGTGTATTTCAATCGGGACTTGCGGATCTGTATGAACGAATCGCGATACCTTGACTTTGG